GGGGGGGGGGGGGAAACAGGCTAATGATGCGTGCCCACCAGTGTCGGTAACGATGTGACGGCTGGTCGCCGTCTGCAGACCAGCCGAACGGCGTCTGCAGCCTCTGGAGGGCGTCTCATTACTGCAGACCTGGGATCAGATCTGAAGACATGCGTGTGTTTGCCGGTCAGCTGACGTATGGAACCCAATAAGAAGAGAGGGTTGTTTACACTGAGGAACGCTCTCCGTTATTTTTTGTGGAATGACCAACATACCTGTCTCCCCATCTGTCTACTTACCTACCTACCTACCTGTCTGTCTTACTTAGTTACTTGTCTACCCACCTACCTGTCTACTCACCTGTCTACCTACCTACGTGGTTGACTGGTACAGGTCTTACAGAGTGTCTGACTTCGACACCATGTCCGTGTCCTAACATCGGGGTAATGTAGGTTCCATTTAACCACGACTGTAATCTTTCCGAACCTCATTTTTGTTCCCTAAACTTCAAACTGAAGCACAGAGTGAGAGGATCAGAAAGCACTCTAAATCATGTTCATGAAGGCTCATTGAGGGAAAGGTGATGATGAACCCTGTGTTGTTTGTGTAGAAACAGGACCTTCCTGTGATGGTCCCACACTAGCTCTGTCTTTGTTAGCCTTTCCACTTGTCAGATGCTCTTATCATCAGATGCACAGCGAGTCCGACCCCCGTTAGTGCAACCCCCCCCCCACACTAACATTCCTGTGATATAGAAAAGTCACAGCTGTGGTATCATGCATACGTTTCAGTAATGTGATAATAAAAATCATAACAAACCAAATTTGTTTGGTGTGCAGAGTGAAGAATGTCCTCAATAAGAGTCTGTTCGTGTTTCCACCAGCAGCCTGACTGCAGATCGCCACCTCGTGAAGGCTCGTCCTGCTGGCTGTTGATCCTGCAGTGATCCTCCGGTAGGGTCGGAGGGTTGCATTCATTCACAACATTCATCTTACATGCAGGCTTTCAGAAGACATCCAACTGTTTCCTGTGGATTGGTTCATTGTCCTCCAAAATCCAAAATTATGATTTTATTTTTGAATTCTCTGGCCTACTTTCGCTTTTATTACCAAATATGCTGTGTTTCTTGATTTGCATGTGACAGCCATGTGGGTGTTCTTGAATATTTCGACCGTGGCCGCGGCTGCTCCCGCGACATCAATCTGGTGATTTCCTTCGGTTTTAATCTGACATTTTTGGCAAAAGAAAGACAATCGTTCAGCTGTGTCGTCTGATCTCTATCCATCCCTGTCAAATCTCCAAAGTGCCCATCACGCCGCTGCATTATTAATTTTCAAACAGCTGTTAAATTCTCTGAAGTGTCTCCTCACTCCAGCAATCCATCCTGTTCAATGGGCATTATTTCAATAATGCACATGATGTCACTGTAGCAACAAATGTCCCCGATGTCATGAGTGTCTTCTAAGACACAGACCCAAGAGTTGTGATCCTGTTTGTGATGTCAAACGACAGCGATACGAGTCGCGCTGATGGAACTCATCTAGACTAAGACTTGATCTCCGTTCTATGGAAGGACTGTTAACGTCTACAACATGTTAACGTGTCAGAGCGGCTCGTTCCCTTTTAAAAACTATTAATGTAATGATGTCAGTTTGTTTCAAAAAGACACTTTGCATGTAATGAGAAGAGACACCCGTCCATGACACGTCCCACACTGATGATAGAGGGGAACTTGGAGCATCAGTGTCTTCTAGGAGACGTCTGAGAAGACTGTATTTGACAAGTTGGGCGTGAGAACGTGTTTATTTGACAATTTATGTTCCAAATAACTAATGAACTGTTGAGGTTTTCATTATTTTATATTGAATACAATATTCAAACATAAAATGAGAAAATCTAGAGAAAGTTTGTTGTTTGCTTTGTCATCATTTCAATAAGACTATCTTATCATGTAGTTTAAGTAGTGTCGGCCTACATACCTACCTACCAACCTGTCTACCTACCTGTCTACCTACCTATTTACCTACTTGTCTACCTACCTGTCTACCTACCTGTCTACCTACCTATTTACCTACTTGTCTACCTACCTGTCTACCTACCTGTCTACCTACCTGTCTACCTACCTATTTACCTACTTGTCTACCTACCTATTTACCTACCTGTCTACCTACCTGTCTAYCTACCTGTCTACSTACCTATCTACCTACCTGTCTACCTACCTATTTACCTACCTGTCTACCTACCTATTTACCTACCTGTCTACCTACCTGTCTACCTACCTGTCTACCTACCTGTCTACCTACCCATCTAGTTTGTTTAGAAATAAAGTTACTTTCCAAACGATGTGTAGTTTCCTGCCGGTGGCTGTGATATCCATCAATCACACCGACTGAAGCCCAGAAGAAGTCGTTGTAAGAACAGTTTGGCTGGTATCTGTTGTTCCCACAGCAACAGAAGCAGGGAGCACAGCTGCAGCAGGACAGGTGGACGAGGACCAGAGCGACGACACGGATGAAGCCTCTGATACCACTGTTCAAACAGAGGGAGGCATGCCTCCAGTTTGTTGAACAGGGCGGTGGAACCGCAGACATTCCAGCTCGCCGTTTCGCCGAGCAAAGTCTCTCTCTCTCTCTCTCTCTCTCTCTCTCTCTCTCTCTCTCTCTCTCTCTATTTTTAGCCACCCCTGAGATGAGAGATGACCCACCACTGCGGCGGTGGCATGCGTATGTGGGCGATGGTATAGCGAGAGCGAGAAATATTGAGAGAAAGAAAGCACAAACAGAAAGAGACAGAAAGAGACAATAAACAGGGGAAATAAGCACAAGTTGGAAGATCGCTTGGAGATCTTGTCGAGTGTGATCAGAGCCAAAGGTGAGATAATGTCACCTACCAATATCAAACACATACCTATAGCAGGTACGTCTTTCCTATTGGCTGGGGATCACATTATACAGGCCTCATAGAGGAAGATGGAGGAACAGACGTGCGAGAAAGCGAGATGGATGTGCTGGAGAGAGAGAATATAGAGAGGTTTACATTGCGGAGGAGTGTGGACACTGAGTGACAGAGAGAGACACCAGAAGAGACGGTGGATTCACACACGGTTGTCCGTTCACTCTGAAATAGCTGTCGGCAGATAGAGAGAGCAGCTCCACGTGTTACTGAACCGACTGCTATCGATTCCCCAGTTCACAAATGTGCATTGTGAGCTCGCTAACTGGACAGCAATAAAACACATAAACACACGAGTTAGATGAATAACTAGACGACAAATACAACATTCATTCTAACATCGTGACTGATGAATGAAACCTGCCTCCAAGCACTCGTAGATTACTCTTTCAACTAAAAGTTCTCATTATTTTCCACAAAGTGGGTCCAAAGAGTTGTTGATAGAGTGAAATCACATGATGGCCGTGGGGAAATTAAAGCTGGTAATGTACTTTTAGTTTCATGTGTTTCTTTACATCCCGACAGAAATCGATTAATCAAATGTTCCGACTAATTAAATGGACAACCTAACTGCCTCCCTACCTACCTGTCTGTCTACATACCTACCTGTCTACCTGCACCACTCTGGCCGTCACAGCTCCCCACCAGAGTCCTCCAGAAGCTGCTACATTGGCAGCTGTATGTACTAACAACAGCCATGTTTGCAGTTTACGTTGATCATTATATTTTGGGCCTGAAGCGACGGAATGTCTTTGTTGCAGACTTGGAGAATTTCTCCGTAGGTTTAGTGGCGATTGGCTCCGGTGTTTCTCCAATAATACCGACCCCAGCATTAGTGTTTCACGGTTATAAGCCAACCAATCACGTCTCAGCTAACAAGCTTTAAAATATTGTTGTTTTATGATCATTCTCTCAGGTTACTTTGGTAGAATACATTCACTGAATCCGTTCAGTATGTCATGGTTTCTGTGCTGAAAACATTTGATTAACCTGATGGAGAGAGAATGAAAGGGAGAGAATAACAGAAGGTGGGGGGGGAAGCGCGACACGACCAAACTGATGCATTTAAAGCATTAGCAGAGCTGCAGCTGCGTGTACCTGCTCGTGGTGCTCGATGCCCATGCTGATGGTGTTGATCAGGATGGCGATCATGATGCCTCGGTTGAAGTACTTGCTCTCCACGATTCCCCACAGCTTCGCCCTTATGCCGTGCCACAGCTCCTTGCATCGCTTCTTTGGACTGCACCCCGCGTGGCCCTTCTCCTCCTTACTACTGTCCGTTTCCTCCACAGCTCCCTCGTCTGCTTCGTCTATTCCCGCACCGCGAGCCGGTCCCACGCCGTCGGAGAGCGACAGGGCCGTGGCGCACTGCGGGCAGCCGCCGGTGGTGTTGAGGGCCACAGGCGAGGCGTGGTCGGGTTTATTACGGTGGGGACAGGGTGGACCTGAAATGTGGCAAACAGGTTGTTAAGCAGGTCGGTGTTTCACGCATGCATCTGAATACTACTGTCAACTTCCACGGTTACACACCGCGCCTCATCGCTGCTCTCCTCTCGCGTCCTTCCCGCCCGTTGGCCTTCCTCTCCCTCGCCTCCCCTCTTCCTCTGCCGCGCCCGACGCCCCGGAAGCCGCGGGGTTTCCCCCGCAGGGCGTTGAAAAGGGCGACCGCTTGCCTCTTGGTCTTGCGCAGGATGTGGCAGACGAGCTGGAAGAGCGCCTCGTAGCAGTCGCCAGGTTCACTGGCCAGGGTGGAGGAGGACGAGCAGCGCGCTCGCTGCTCCTGCATCAGCTGGTGCTCCCTCTGCTTGGTCTCGGAGAACTGGGTGGCGATGACCACGAGGCACAGGTTGATCATGAAGAAGGAACCGATCTGGGAGGAGGATGAGAGCCATGCACAGAACGTTCTTCAGACCCACTACAACAAAAAGTTCTTCCTTCCAAAAGGCAGAAATGTGCTAAAACATGGTGTGAAATATTCTGAGCTGTTAGCTGCCAGCTAGTCCCTGAACAGAGAGCTCTCAGCACAGATGGCTTGACACCAGTGGAGTCGAGCTGCTGCTACCTCTAGCCTGTTAGCCCACTTGGCTGGACAGGTCCAAACATAACATGTTCTACAATATGGTTGCAACAAAGCTGCTGAAAACGAGAAGATACGGAGCTGTAACTGCTGTCTATTCTCTCCCACCAGAAAACCTCTTTGGGTGTTGAGAGCTAAAGCCTGAGATTAAATCCCATTCACACGGGACACGATGCACCCAAAAAGACTTTTGGCCTTGTGTGTTTTGGATGCGCTACAGTTCTAATTCACGCCTCTGATTGGTTTATTCTTAACGGCAGTTAAGGCTCATCCGTATCGCAGTATTTACAGTCATACCGAATCTAACAGAAAAAAAAACGATTTCTCAGAATATAAACTGAAATTATTAAAACTTTCTCTGCAGTCTATTTGTCCCGTCAGCCCTGTGGGGCAATCAATGCAGTCTATAGTATGTGTGTGATGTTCACATTGTTTCTAATCTTTGTTATCTGAGCCAGCCGTACGGTTCACATTAAAACCCAGTGATGGTCTGGTTTGTACCTCGCTCAGCTGTATCAGCTATTAACTGTTGGACTTTGATTCGTCACATTAAGTCACCGCTATCAAATGAATTCAATGTCTGAAGCACACGTCTAACAGGTGTTCTCTACTCTCTATCACTGCTGAACTCACACACAGATGTATTCAACTAAAACCAGATTCAATGCTCTACTGTTCATCAAACATCACCAGGTTTAAGGCCACGTTGAAGAATGTTCTATTGCTTTAAACCTCGTTCATAATGTTAATATAATACATCTGCAGGTTTTTAGGCTCTCAGCAGGCGGAAGAGATACAGAAGCAGAGAGAAAGAAGAGAGTAGACAAAGGTCACGGTCACCCGGAGAAGCAGAGCCGATGTGGAAAAAGAGGAGGAGAGAGAAGTGGAGGAGGAGAGAGAAGTGGAGTAGGAGAGAGAAGTGGAGGAGGAGAGAGGGGGATGAGGTCTAACGCTCTCTGGGCTGCGATCGATAGTGATTGTGAGGGCTGATGACCCCGTTCTGCTCTCCCTCTGAACCGCTGCGACAAAGGCCGCAGAGGAGCTGGCTGAAAAGTGTGTGTAAGCTGCCAAATGTGTGTGTGTGTGTGTGTGTGTGTGTGTGTGTGTGTGTGTGTGTGTTCAAAGCTGCTCTTGCATTGATCCAAGATTTGTGGTGAAAGGGAGGCAAGCGGGTCCCGGGAACCCGTTCGGTACCCTCGCCGATCTCATCAAATATTTATACTCGCACTCTGCTGGAGCCGCTGAAATACAATTAGAGCGGTGTGTGTGTGTGTGTGTGTGTGTGTGTGTGTGTGAGAGACTGTGTGTGTGTGTGAGACTGTGTGTGTGTGTGTGTGTGTGTGCGCATGTGTGCAGCTTGAGCGTTTGCAACCGAGTGGGAAATGTGTGTGAGAGGCAAGTGTGGATGACAGTGATGATGTGTGTGTGTGTGTGTGTGTGTGTGTGTGTGTGTGTGTATGTGTGTTAAAGTTTGAGGCTGAGCGAGAGAAAGGGAGCTAAGACGCACATTTTCCCTCCTAAATATTAAAGCTCCACATATCAACATGTTTTAATTAAGTAATCATTTGCATCCAGTGAAGTTTCCCCGGCTCCTGCAGCCTCTTCTTGGCTCATTGTTTTGGATTCTTTTGGAAACACGTTAACCGACTTTACCTGATATCTTACATCGGGTCTGTGTGTCGGGCCTTCTTTTAGCAGTGTTGTGGCAGAAAACAGACCAGATGCACAGATTGCTGCATTACAGGTGTCTGTATCCACTGCACGTATGTGCTGAACAGTGTGTGAAATGTGGTGGCCTCTGTGGGTCCGAGACCCTTCATCGACACTTCATTTGCCTCAATAGCAAAATTCTGAAAGCTCTCTGAAGAAAAGACAATTATTTCTCACTTAAATGCCTTTTAGAAGCGTACTAATGCCCAGCAGTCTTCTTTGTTCAAACTTCAAAACATTTATTCACAGTTGATATTGCTGAATGTTGAAACCTGGTACAGTGACGGCTCTCATGCAGCGTCAAACCAAAAGGCTCACCACACAGGCTGGCCTTTGCGAACGTTAGCTTCCACAGGTCCGAGCTGTTGGTAACCATGTACGGCGACTCTCTCCATCTTTGTCTCACTTCTTTCATCTGTCTCTCCATCTCTCCATCTGTCACACTCTCTCTCTCTCTCTCTCTCTCCATCCGACTCTCTTCAATTCAATTGAATTCAACACGCTTAATCTGCATGAATGTTACGTGAGTGAAATTGCCAAAGCCTCTCTCTCTCTCTCTCTCTCTCCACTGCTCAGTGTCGTGCAGTATTCAAGCAAACACAATTAAAAGCCTCCTTATCCGTCTGCCGCTGAGATGAGTACAATCGGGTTTTACCAACGGAACTTTTTCACATGTGAACAACGGCTCTTAAATCGCTTTCCTCCACTAAGTCGGGTTGCGAGACGAGCCTTGAAACACGCTGCAACAAAGCCGACGGGATCCCGACTGTCAACGCTGGGCTCCGTGGGGACCAGGAAGACAGACGAGGAGTAAAATCCTGCTCTGACGCTTCGTCTGTTCGATCCCTTCAAGCTTTATTAATTAGAACATATTCATCCTGAGATCCGGTGAGGATCTGCTTCCTCATTCAGAGAATGTTTCAGGCTTCAGATGCTTCAGAGGAGAGGCTTCAATTTAGTTGATTCTGATCCAGAATCTGAAGGATGCTTTGTTTTTGCAGAAATTGATTAGAATATTCATAATTACAACCGTTAGTTTAGAATAAGCCCTTCATCTCTACATAGGAAGCGGGTTCGCCTCATGGAGTCAGCCATGTTGCACCGCCATGTTCCTACGGTAGCCCAGAACGGACAAACCAAACACCGGCTCTCGAGAGAGACTTTCATGTTTTTACTTTAACCCGAAGGTCGCCGTTGGTTCTTCAACACGTTTGTGACTCTACGGTAACTCGAGCCGCCAAGAGTTTAAAAGCGTGGTACAGCCAGACGCTGTCTGATTGCTGTTGCTCATGACGTAATGTTATTGTGGTGAAGATGGCCTCACGTTACAGCAGTCTTAAGGGAGAGGGATTCAGTTGGTTCCAATTTGCAACCGCACTAGATCCTACACACTGTGCCTTTAAAGATTCTTTCTGGAAATCTCTTCAGCTCGAGTTAAATAGAGATCTCATTTCAGACATCTAACCAAAAACACATTTAAAGAAGACTTTGAGACGAGGGAACCAGAAGTGAAAAACAAGCCGACTCATGATGATTAATTTCCTGGTTTTAGGACTCATTAAACATGTTAACATACATGCTAACATGTTTAAGTATTTATTCAGACATAAACCTCCGTTCATATTAAAGGGTGGGGGGGGGGACATAATGTAAGACATACTGTTACACCTGATGCTGTGATCAGTGTGTCTGCTTGGAGCATGTGAGTCCGGAGGACATGCTGAGGGGACTCGCTCTAATTAATACCATTTCATTTAAGATCAAAGAGGGAGGCCAACATGTGGTCGCTCCCTCTCTGCCGTCCTCCAATCCTCTCTTGGATTTCATGCCGACACTCCAGCCCATCACCACCACCACCTCCTGATTCCTTCTCTCCCATTGATCCGTCCACTCCATCACCCTCACTCGCCCCACGTCTTTCCATCCCTCTTCCCTCTATTTTCTCTTCAATTTCATCATCCCTTCTTTCCATCTCTTCCCCTCCAACCACTCCAACTCCACTCCATAGTAATTTCCTTGCTTCCTTCCCTCCTTCCACTGCTGCTCACTCGTGTTATTCACATCAAAAGGCTTCCATTCTACCACTGATCATCGGTGGCAAGGTCATCTTGATGCCGGAGATGATGTCCCACCGCTAAAATGTGTCCTTTTCCATGTGTGTGTGTGTGTGTGTGTGTCAATATATCTGTTTTTGCAAGCGGCAACCTCCGGTTCTGCCAAGTGAAGCCAATGTATGTGTTACAGAATGCAGCTTCATGTGTTAAAGCTGCATTCTCTCTAGTGTCCAGCAGGGGGCGACTCCTCTGGTTGTATAGAAGTCTATGAGAAAATGACTCTACTTCTCTCTTGATTTATTACCTCAGTAAACATTGTAAACATGAGTTTATGGTCTCAATCTCTAGTTTCAAGTCTTCTTCAATACAGCATGATGTTCATTTAGTACATTATGGTCCATTTAGAGTCAAACAGACCATAAAGCAGGGGATGCTTTAGGGCGGGCTACACAGTGATTGACAGGTCTCTACCAGAGACCTATACGGCATCTCTACGTCACTCCTCCTCAGTTTAAATATGGTCACTTCCTGTTCATCTGCTTCGAAAAAACCGAGATGGTGACGGCAAAATCGCCGAATTCGAGTCGACAAACCAATGTGTGACGTCACGATGACTACGTCCACTTCTTACATACAGTCTGTAGTTTTTTGATACAACTTTTAACTATTTGTGACACCAGAGGCCGAGGTACTAGAATGATACTGCCAATCACACCAGAGGGTCCAGCCACAGCAGTTTAACGTTAGCAGATACCACGTAGATCAAAGGCGGGGTCAAGCCGCAGTGAATAACTGGATTCCTGTTTGTATGCCCGTGTGTTTCCGTGTGACTGAGATTAATGAGTAGAGTGAGAGATGCATGAAAGATGCTCAGTGCACAGCTCAGCGAGGAAGGGGAGACAAAATGAAGGCAGGAGAGATGTGTGGATGGAGATGAAACAGGAAGCAGGGGAATAAAGGAGATTAAGGAAAAAGAGTGAGACACAGAGGGTGAAAGTGAGGCAGAGAGGGGTGACGGAGGGAGGGAGGGGGGGAGGAGGGGAAGTGTTAGCAGAGTCAAGGATTGATAGATGGCAGGGAGAGATGAGAAAGGTAGGAAGACTGACAGATTTAGGGAGATAGACGGAGAGAGATGGAAGACGGAGTGGAGGTGACACAAGAGGGGAGGAGGAGAGAGGGAGAGCTTGTGTCGGGATCTGAAGGCAGGCAATTAAAAGTGTAATAAAAAAGATAAGACAGCCCCTGGGTCGGGGAAGTAACCGGGACTGGCAGTCACGCTGCATTATGATAACACTTTCACACACACACACACACACACACACACACACACACACTTATATACGCACATGCTCTCTGACAGGCTTAAAAAAAGAAACACACTGAGGGGGAACACGCATCAACGCTCGCACACAAAAGATGCAAACGCTCACCGCGGCGCACATACAGACACGAGAGCTAACGGATTGGAATTAAAAAGAGTTTTATCGGAACAAAAGGGGGGGGGGGGGTTCTTCAGGGAATTCAGCTCAGCTTTAACTATGACACTGACAGCCGTGCGTGTGTGTGTGTGTGTGTGTGTCTGTGTGTGTGAGTTTGCATGGATATGCAGGTGGGAGAGAGAGAGAAGTTGAGAGAGAGAGGGGGAGGAACAGCTTTTCATTGCAGTCATCTGTAGCTTGGCAACAAAAACAGGAAGTCTAAAAGTATGTAAGTGTGCTGACTGCAGAAGCTAGAGCGTCACTGGATGTGTGTGTGTGTGTGTGTGTGTGTGTGTGTGTGTGCATGAGTAGTTGGGTTTTGAACCCTGTCTCTTACAAGATTGCATTCCCATGCAACTAAACTGCATCAATGACGTTTCGAGGGAAATGTTTGTTCTCCAACATTGTGGTTAATATTTTAAATGCATTATTAACGCAACACAATGACGTGCTGAAGTTCAGTAAAACTCAAACTGTGGTTTCCTGGGTGAACGTCCTGTTTGTCTGACTCACCCATCAACAAACCTAATCTGGGAGAAACTATTGTTCCCTATAGACGTAATTGATAAAGCAGTTTTGTTGTATGTAAATGTGATGTTTTAGAAGACCTCATTATCATCAATATATGGAGTCCAATGAAGCTTCAACTAAAAACCAACAGATGTAGTTTGTTGGTGAAACACGAGACGTCTACGTTCTGATGAACTGATCTTCCTCACGGCATCACGATGACACTGATCACACGTCCTGCGCTGCATGTCTGCGAGTGTGACTCACAATGATCAGCAGAATGAAGTAGATGAAGTTGTAGAAGGAGTGAGCATCCATCACGTAGTACATGATCTCCACCCAGCCCTCCAGAGTGATCACCTGCAGCCGGGGGGAAAGGTCACAGGGAATCAACAATGGTATCCACAGGAAGTCTGCTCGCAGGGTTAAAGGAACAGTTCATCATTTAGGAAATGCACCAGAAGATCGATACAACGCTCATGTTTGTCTGTTAAATACAAAAAGGCTACTGCCAGGTAACTAAAGACAGGAAACAATGGGAACAGAAAGCCCGCTCAGTCTGATTTGAATAAAACACGCCTTTAAGGCTGTTATATGAACATGCTATGCCATCTTACTGTATTGGTTGGTTCATGCATGGATTAAACAAATAACAAATAAATAACATCCAGTCGATGTGGTCCCAAAAGCTTTATTTTTATTAATTGTTTTGCTCCAGAGAATCATACTGTCATTAACTAATCCTCACGACTCATCACTACTGTTGTAACGTTAACGTAAGTACAATATCCGTCTCTCTTTAGCTAGCAAGACGCGCACACCCTGCACCAGTAAAATCAACCAATGGGATGCCTCTAAGGTCAAATAAGAAATAACATGTCAGTGAGTCTTTGTGCTAAGCTAAGCTAGGATACGCTAAGCTAGGCTGCAGCTTTACATTTCACAGAACGACATGAGAGTGATATTTATCTTCACGTTTAACTCTTCACCAGAAATTGGATAAATCTATTTCCCCAAAAGACTTCAATACAACTTGAACGTAATACATATTTTATTCAATGCAGTTAAAAAGGTAAGTACATTTCTTTCAGACTTTTGTCGATGTTTTCCAGATTTCACCACGCGAACAAGTACATGTGGAAAGAAAGGATCTCTGGTGACGCCGTCAAGCTCACAGGAAATCTCAAACTTCTTTGTTTGTCCTCCTTTGCTTGTTTACATTAAACATTAAAAAGTTATGAATTGTGGAAAAACTATAAAATGTTAAACTGAAAGTAGCCAAAAGGTGGTTTTGACCTAAAATCAAAGATGTCTGATTGGTGCCAAATTTACCAAAACTCTCACCTGGAAGATGACGATCCAGGCGTAGGCGATGTTGTCAAAGTTGATGGCTCCTTTGTGGGGGTTTCCGTGCCCAGTGTGACACCTGGTGTAGTACTGGTTCCAGTTGACACAGAGGCCCGCCACGCTGACGCTGCCGTTGGCCAGGGGCTCCGGGCTCAGGCCCAGCGACTGGCGGTACAGGGCGTCGTCTTTGTCCAGGCAGCACGTCCTGCCGCCCTCGCGGCGGGCCGGGACGTCGGAGCACGACATGATGCCGTTGTCGACCGGCAGGGAGCAGATGAAGGGCCGCTCGTCGTCCTCGTCGGCCATGTAGTAGGGCCGAGGCAGACCGATGCCCGTGGTGCTGCGAGTGTGACGGGAGAAGGTGGTGAGCACAACGCCTCCATTTTAAAACAACACGGACATCACTGTACAAAATACATCCAAATGAGTAAAGTCTGAAGGTCAACAAACAACACAAACATCTTTTACACAGAGCACAATCATGGTTATTTCCAACATCTGTGTGGTGAGCGAGATTGGACCTGACAGCAGAAAGTACAACGATGACAGACGGAGAGATGAGTGGATGGAGAAACAGAGGGACAGATGACTGTTTGTGATTGAAAGAAAACGACACCAGAGACGGTGGCGAATCGGACGAGTTAACTCTGACGCTCCAAGCTGATAGTCGGCCGTATTCTGCACGTTTGTTGCTGTCAGTCAGAGAAAGCCGTCTGATTGGCTGCTCAGCCTAGCGCATCTAATGTGCCTCCTGTTTGTTTCTTCTTCCACAAACAGACTAACAAATTCAGGCTGTCAAACACATCTCAGGCTGTCCAACACCAGCGCAAAGCAAAGCGTCATCTACCAAGCAATACAGTCACCTGGTAAATCAACACAGAACATACATGCAGACCAACGCGTCAGCTGGCTGTCAGGCTGTAGTTCTTCTGAAGACGTTGAAGGGCAACCTTAAAGCATCGCAGAGCGTCTGATTATTTCTTTGCAGTCGACTTGGCGTGTCAGAGCTCTTACAGAGTAGGACTTTTAGACTTTAAGATGTCGGAGGTGAGAGAGAGCAGCGCTCGTCTGTGTGATCTCTCTTTAATCTCAAGCGTGGGCGGCTGTTTAAAGGGCAGATGGAAAGAAACGGATACAGATGAATAGCAGTCGGTTAGCAATTACATCTGACCTGATATTTGAGAAGAAGCCGCGTTGTGAGTACTACTCTGAGTACGACACGCTCTTTGTATCCTTTAGGAGCTCTTTCTCTGCATTGTGCTGCACTGAATAGGAGCTTATTATCAAGATGACGGTGTAGCTCTGGGTACTCCTGACCAGCTCTGTACTTCCTCCGTTCACCAACGAAATCCAAACTGAAACGTGCAACGAGCACGTCCAAGGATAAGACATATTGGTAAAGATTGAACCAGAAATAGAAGTTGAGTAAATATTGGACTATTATTGCTCGGGGGTCTAGAAACATGATTCAAAAAGGAAAGTTTCAATGTAACTCTGGACGTGTGAAAGGACAAATGTTAGCTAACGCCTCACAACAACGTGGAACAGACTCTCAAAGGCGTGTGGGCTGCGTGTTCGTCGGCTAGCTGTGGAGTTTAAGAGAAATCAATCCACTGTTCTCCTCCCGTCTTGCTGACATCTTGTCATCAATTGTGCACGATCTGTGAAAAGCGCTGAAGTCAGGTTCTCTCGTCTCATTTAGCGTGCATTTGTTGGACAAGGCTGTCTTTTGTCCGATCACTTTGCATTTGTTTTCCAGTTCTTTATACACCGAAGAAGAGAGGAAACGTTTCTGCCGTCATTCAAAACCTTGATCACAGCTTCGTGCTTTATGTGTATGAATTAGTATTGCACTGCTGTTTTCAGTGATGTACTTGACTGTGACTCCTGCTTCTTCCTTTTCAGAGTCCTTGTTGTGTCACGTGATCTCAAGTCCCTGACGTGTTGCGTTTATATAACTAAGTTATAAATATAAAGAAGGTTAACATCAATCAACAGACTCTTCTTCTCTGGAGCACATACAAATAAAGAGCAAATAAAAACTTCTGAGGTCTTAAAAAAAGATACATTTTCGTGTTCTTTAACGAACATAATTCTGACATCAGTATGCTTTGTTCTTCATCCTCATCTTTGACCTGCAGCACACTTTGTTTTGCCGGCGGGTCATCAATGAATCCTAACGATTCCTTTTCCTTTGCCTCTGAGCAAGACGAAGGTCCTGACAGATACGTAAGTGTGTTTTCTTTCATGTTCTTTCCGTGTTCTTTTATAAACATAAATAAATAACCAACACGATTAATGTACGTTGTGCTCCGCAGCTCAAATTACCACCGTGTTTAAAGGTGGCGTCTGTGGTGTGACGAGCTTGATCCAACCTAGAAAAAACACAGTATTTCCATGTTTTTATAATCACAGAGAACATCAGAGGTAAATTTTTTCCTCTCGTAAATTCTGATTTTTTTTTCTCAAAATAATGCCCCTCATTCACCCAACTCCATAATTATTATCATTAGTTCTATGAACCTAAAATGGCCCCAACATGTGGGAACAGTGACGATGTGGTTTTCACTCCCACTACGGTGAAAAAGCTGCTTTTGTGAGATTCATTCAGTTCAGTATGAATGCCAGGTGGCAGACAAGCGACTGTGATATAATGTCATTGTAATTAAAACCTAAACACATGATTTGTTTAATCAACTAGCAGGATAAAAAGGAAACATCAAACTCTCTGTTCAGCTCTGTTCCCAGCTGTTCAACTCTCTCATTTCAGACAGACTCGGTGAAGTTCTGGTTCCTCTCGGTGTTTATTTGCTCCGTATGTCCGGAGGAGAGAACCTGCGTTACAGTCTGGGTCTCCAAGAACAAACAGCTTCCTTTTCTTCCTCTGGGACTTCTTACCGCTTGTGTTGTTGTCTCGTGGCTAACCGGAGGCCAGCAAGCGAACGTCCAAGAAACGTGACACGTCCGACACGTGACGTACGTTTCGTCTACGCTGCGCTCGTTACGTTCACCAGCGGACAAACAGACGGCTGTCATCTCACACCTAAGGAGACGTTTTGGACTCCTGACAGCCAGAGGTTAGGGTTCCACGCTCTCGGCGGTCCGATTTGCTTTGTGGTAAAAAATAAATACACAACAAGATCGTGTGCATGTTTTACCAACGTTGGATGACATTACTGAAATGAACCCAGGTGGGTCAGGACATGCCATGATTACGTCCCCTCTCCGTCTCATCTCTACATTGGTCACCATGAGTGCCAGCTTACCGTCCAGCCAGACTGAGGCTCATCACACGCTTGGCCGTGGATCTGGTCTCGGCGGGCTCGTGGATCCCTGTTATCCTCTGAGCTGTGTGTTACACGGTGGTATTAGCTGTACTCTTAGTCAGAGAGATATTTGGGAACAAACGACAGCTGCTGAGCTTCCAGCCTCTAATTCACTGGCTCACTATTGTCTTCTGCTGTTACCAGGCGAGGAGAGTCATCAGACGTCATTCCTGGTTGGCGATTTTGCTTTTGTCAAACTTTAAAGAAAAGCGCTCGTAGTCGTCGTGACGTCACTCATTGGTCGTTTCGAAGACTCGACTTCTGCGATTTCACCGTCGCCATCTTGGATTACGGCTGTCGCCAAAAATAAGTTTCAAAAGTTATTCGTTAGAGTTAAAATGAGTTAATGCACGACAGAATACGTTTCTCTCAAACCTAATTCAAAAGGCAGTTTCTTTGTACGGAAACGAAATCTTCAGGAGACAGCGTGGTTTATGGAAATATATCTTCCAACGGAGCAACTCCATCAAGTGCTTCTGAACCCAACACAACTAATTAAACTCAAGTAGTTGTCTCTACATTCGTACCAAATGACATATTGATGATTATGATATTAAAGGCGCTTCATAGTAAGGTTTACATTCACATGTGAAATACTTTGGAGTAGTTTGTTTTGTTGGTTTTAGTGTTGAATGTATGAACATTGGCTTTCTTCTTTTTAAATGCATTTTAATACACGAATGATCGTAAAAAGTCAAAGAAAGGTTCCAGGAGACAATAAAGAATAAGTCATCTTGTCATATCTCATCCTGAGAGAATGACATTTTCTGCTGCAAGAAGCCAAATAGCTCATTTTTAATGAAGCACTTAAATGGGGATTTAAAAGCTGCCATAAAAAGGCTAAATCCTTCGGTCCTAACGTCACATCCCATCATATCTTCCTGATCTTGGAGGAGCTCACGGAGTGTGAGGATCTAATCACAACCAGCTGTGTGAAATCACCCAAAGATGAACAATTTCATCGGTAGAAGTTGAAGGTTATTGACTGATTGGCAGCTGTTGCTTCCGCTGCTGTGCACGAACAGAATGAAGTCTGAGACACAACGACACACGAACAGCTGAGAGTGATCCGTAACCACCGTCAACCACAGCGGCGTCGCACTGCTCTCATTGTGATGCGACATGACAGAGGAAGAATTGAATTTCTGACACTTCCACCAAAATAAACAGCCCACAGCCACTGAGACGCAGAATAATACGTTCTGGAAAATACCAACACACACACACACACACACACACACACACCAAAATAGAAGTTTCCGACCCAAAGAAAGGGAAAGAGGACGAGTAAAAATGTGAAAAGATATTGAGAAATAAAAGAACCTCTTGATGTCAAACTGGAGGTTAGAGGTAGCTTGGAGATGAAGAATAATGTGACTTCATGTTCACAGAAGGGGATGATTAACCACGTACACAGTTACTTTGCTAATGAGCACAATGATGAGGAGAAGATACAAAGAATGAATTGAGAACATTGGTGAAAATGAATAAGTTGTTTAGTTTTTGGAAGAACACGGTGGAACAGGTCAGCGGGTTGAACTCGTCTCGAGACATCAGGGGCGGACTTAAACTAAGCAAGAAGATAAATGTTTTCTTCCCCCGGCACAGCTGGAGTCCTGGTTCCCCCGGAGCGACGCGCTGACTCCTCACTGACGTGTTAACAGAAGAGTGACTCTGATGACATTGGGCCGCTGTTCTACATCCTGTTTCCTACTAAGAGTCGATGTTGTCTTCTTTCAATCACGACCGCGATCATTTGACGAAATAATTTTTAACCAAAACTGCAATTATTCCCGAATTAAAACCAGTCATTTGTGTTTCAAGTCTTCTTCAATACAGCATGATGTTCATTTAGTACATTATGGTCCATTCAGAGTCACACAGACCATAAAGCAGGGGATGCTTTAGGGCGGGGCTACACCGTGATTGACAGGTCTCTACCAGAGACGTATACGGCGTCTCTACGTCACTCCTCCTCAGTCCAAATATGGTCACTTCCTGTTCATCGGTGGCAAAAAAGTCAAGATAGAGACGGCCAAAACAGTCCATGGAATATATGGAAGTTCTCTTGAAGTCCTTAAAGCTTCCTGCGTCTATGCTAATATAATTTAGTATATCATTTTAATATAATTTTGCTGCGAAGGGGATGTGTGTGTGTGTGTGTGTGTGGGGGGGAAGAGAAAGAGTGGCATTTTTTTAATTAAGTGGCAGAACTGACTCTGAGATAATGACATTTGCTTTGTGCAAAATTGTGGTTTGCAATCAGCCTCACTATGTTAGAAAGAGAGCGCCTTCATCTCCCTCTGTGGTGATATCAGTGAATTGAGAGGATGGTGTAATTAATCTTCTTCTGGAGTCACATTGAAGGGGGGGGGGGGCAACGAAAGTCGAGGTGACACATACGTTTATGTAAAAGCACAGTGTGTCCTGATGTGTGTAAACGTACCTTTTCAACACACATTTACACCATGACGCTCTATGATGGAGACACAAGTCAACAGCAGACGTTACACACACTCACAAATACTTTTTCCAACGGACCGACATGTCACAGATCCTCGAGCATCACAACGTCTCACGCACACGACCTGACATTAACACACACACACACACACACACGCACACACACACACGCACACGCACACACACACACACACAAAGATCCCAGACGGGGGACTCACAGTGTGAAGTTCTCCTTCGGGTAGCAGCGGTTCCTCAGAAGCCCCGCCCACAGCTGCACGCCGATGATGCCGAAGATGAAGAAGACGAAGAAGCAGAGGAGGAGGACGTTGCCCAGCATGGGCAGAGTGTCCAGCAGCAGGTTGACGAGGATGCGCATGCCTGAAGAGACAGAAAAAAAACATTGATATGAAGAGGAAACACATTACAGAGCAAAGGGCTTATGCTGCAGAAGTTACTTTCAAGAGGTCAGAGGACATCTCACCCTTCAACGACACACTGAAGCTCAGTGAAATGATCTCTGATGTTATATTTAAACCAGGAGCTTGCTTGCCTCTCTGGAGTTGTGACATCTTTCTTGTTGGGTCAGAAGTGCGTCAAGCATCACCCGTAAACATTGGTGAGGGACGCGACCCACAGGAATAGATGCCTTTGACGGACTGAAGAACAACTGAGTTTTGTCAACATTTTATTCTCATCTATTGTTATTATCTCCGCCAGGAGAGTATGTATTTGGTCGTGTATGTGTGAGTGAGTGAGTGTCTGTCTGTCCAGGGCTAATCTTGCATATACTGCTGGACCAACGAACCAGATATGTTTCTGTGCTTTCATAATCAAGGACCTGATTCACCCTGTTTTCTCTCTCTCTCTCTCTCTCTCTCTCTCTCTCTCTCTCTCTCTCTCTCTCTCTCTCTCTCTCTCTCCCCGCCCACTCTTTTTGCTCGTGCAGAAATTGAACACATTGCGCCGGCATTTCCATATAAGCCTCTGTATTATCATAATTAGCTAATCAATCCCTCATCTCCACACTAATTGTGATCCCATGGCTCATTACTTTGGCTCTGATCAGAGTAAGGAAACTAAAGCAGGGGTTAGATTCTATCTGTAACATAGATGGAGGATTGAGTGAGCATTTAGCCGACTAATCAAGGGTAAGTGGGCCGGCTGGCGGTCCTCAGACCGTCTCTCCCAGGGGTCCTGGCACATGCTGTGATGATCTAACATGTTTCAGTCGGAAGAAGCAGACGACGGGGAAGCTGTGAAGGATAAATTGATGTTTTGAAGCCTCGAGTTTGGCGATTTGGTACGGTGACCATATGTGGACTGAGGAGGAGAGACGTAGAGACGCCGTATACGTCTCTGGTAGAGACCTGTCAATCAC